TAAATGCTGTCATTCAGTCATCATTTGGTTCAAAATATCTTCTCATGTCTTCAGATATTCAGAAGTTTTCCCTGTAGTCTTTTGTGATTGATTTCTAGTTTAAGTTCACTACATCAGAAAACTATGTGTTCTGTATATGATTTTAATAATTTGAAACTTGTGGAAACCTCCCAATGACTTGGCACATGGGCAATTTTTATGATTATTGAGTGGGTCCTTGAAACAATCGTGCCCCATGCAGTCGCCAGGCACAGTGCTTGACGCAGGTCACCACGGTTAAGTGTGTTCACGTGGTCCAGATCTTCCATGTCCTGACTGTTCTTCCTCTGCTCACTCTATGAGTTAATTGCAGAGGTTTCCTGCATTCTCTGAGTATTGATGGTGAGTCTGTCAATGTGGATTTCTTCTTTTAGTTCTTTTAGTTTTGAGTTTACATATGTTTGGTCTATGATGTTATATGTATACAAATTTAGAGTTGTTATATATTCATGTTAAAGTGTCATTTTATCTTTTGAACCACTCTTTGTCACTAATAATAATTTTTGTTTTAGAGCCTACTTTGTCTACACAAACATTCCCTTAGTTGGCCTGTATATGGGTTATCTTGTGTATCTTTTTGCATTCGGCCTTCTGGTATCTTTTATTTATGCAGCATCTCCTGCAGGTAGCATGTAATTGAATTTTGTTTTATCTAATATGTCAATCTTTGTATTTTAGTTGGATTATTTCATCCATTTTTAAATAATGGGCTTAAATTTAACACATTATTTCCTCTGTTCTTTGTTCCTTTCTTTTCTACCCTTTCTTGAATTTTTTTTTTGATGAGTCAGTTTTTTGTTATCTCCCTCCTTTGCCCTCATAGCACTAACTCCATCCTTTTCTGGGGGGAGCAGTGACAGCACATTTTCATATTTCAGTGTGTTTGACCTCCAGACCTTTTGTGATCCCATTGCCGTCTATTTTAGTTCTCCAGACATTGTTACCTTAGAAGGCATTATTATTGTTGCATTAAGCAGCCAAAATTAGATTTATCCATTTTTAACCCTTACTGATGTCTTTTGTTCCTTCTTACATAGACATGCATTCATCTGAAAATTCTCCTTTTGTTCAAAGTGCTCTCTTTTACTGTTCTTATTATTAATCTGCTGGCAAAGTATTCTATCAGTTTTTGTCTATACGTGTCTTTATTTTACTGTATGAATATCCATATTTTCACTGAGTATAGATTTCTAAGGGTTTTTTTTTCCCAGAATTTTAAAGATGTTATTCTATTGTTTTCTGGACACGTTGTTTTCCCCTTACTATTGCTCTTTTGCAGGGAACACACCCTCTCACCTTCACTGCCCGCGCTCTGGCTGTTGTTGGGTTTTATTTCTCTCTTTGAGCATTCACCTGTTTTTCTGTGAGTACTGATTGACGGTTCTCTTTGTACTTTTCTTGCTGTGGACTTGTGGAGCTTCCTAAATCTCTGTTTTGATACCTTTCATCAATTTAGGAAAATTTTTAACAAATATCTTGTCAAATATTATATTATGTTTTAGTTTTAATTTTTAAAGATTTTATTTATTTATTTTTAGAGAGAGGGGAAGGGAGGGAGAAAGAGAGGGTGAGAAACATCAGTGTGTGGTTGCACCTCACTCATCACCTACTGGGAATGTGGCCTGCAACCCAGGCATGTACTCTGACTGGGAATCGAACCAGAGACCCTTTGCTTCATAGTCCAGTGCTCAATCCACTGAGCCACACCAGCCAGGGCATCTTGTCAAATATTGATTCCACCTAATTTGCCCTCTCCTTTCTCTCTGAAACTTCAATTACATGCTTGTTAGAGCTTTTCACCCTGAGCCATAATGTCTCTCATACTCTTTTGTGTTTTTCATTATTTATTTCTGCCTTTCAGATCTTTAGTTTGGTTATGTTCTGTTGACCTAGCTTCCATTTTACTATTTCGGTCTGCAGTTATGTTTAATCTGCTGTTAAATTTATCTGTTAAATTCTTTCCATTATTTAATTTTCAGTTCTAGAATTTCCATTTGATTCTTATTTTAGTACATTCTAATTTTATGGTGACATTTAGCATCTTCTATTTTCCTGAGCATATCCATGATAGTTATTCTGGAGCTCGTGTCTCATAATTTTAAAATCTGGATGACCTGTGGTTCTGCATCTGATGTCTATTTTATCGGATGTTAGTCATTTGATCCTATTTCCTGCAATGCCTATTAATTTTGGATTGGACGCTGGGCATTATATATGAAAAATTGTGAAGTCTGTGGATAATTTAGTGTCTCCCGGGGAAGATTTACTTTCTTTGATCTACACAGGAATAGAAGTCCTTTGAGAGAGTATGATCTTAGCAGAAAGTCAGCTATGTTTGCCAGGCCACTCTGTTCTCGAAAGCCTGAGTTTTGTCCCCCTAGTGTCATGATAGTATCAAAATCCATGCTTCGGATTATTTAGCTTATTTGAAGCTGATTTGGGGGGATCCTTTTTCTTAACCTCTTGCTTTCTATGTGCAGCTCAGACACAGCACACAACTCAGGAGGAAGCTGATGGAAGACAGTTGGGCTGCCTTCTTTCTGGTCCTTTTTCCATGGTTTAGACCCTCAATTGCTGGCTCCTTCAGAAGTACCATGCCACATGGTCCCCAACTCAGATGTTTTTAAGCTCTAACTCATCGCTTTCTGTTTGGCTTCTAACTGCAAATACACCAAAAGAAAAATCTGGCAGTATACATGGGGCTCACTTCAGTGGACTTTTCTTCTCTCCAAACATTGGCTCAAATTTTTGGCTGCTTTTGTTGCTTTTATATGCCTTCAAAAAACTTTGTTTGTTGAGGATTTAAGAAACCTCTTAAACAACTGTCATAGTTTTTCTTAACAGAAGGGTTGGCTTAATACAAACCATTCTTTTATAGCCTAAAGCAGAAATCTATCTCATCTAATTTTCACACTATCTTTATGAAATTAAATAAAGCCATGTTGTTATGTAGCATAAGCTTTGGAATCAGACTTTGAAATTTAAATATTAGCTGGCCACTAACCAAAATGTGAGAACTTGGACAAGTTTTAACCTCTCTGATCCTCTACTTTCTCCCCTTTTAATACATAACTGAGAAATGAAGTTGAAGAGACTTAAAATTCAGATAATCCTACTTTTATTTAAACTATTTCAGAGCATAATAAAAGGAAAACTTCTAAATTTATTTTATGAAACTGGTATCTTTTTAATTCCTAAAACTGAGAAAAATAGCACCTAAAAATTATAGACGACTCTCATTTAAAAATATTCAAATTACAGGAAAATGATAAAGTACTTTTAAAAGAAATAAAAATAGATTTGAACCAATTATTTAAAATACCATGTTGCTAGATAAGAAGACACAACGTTATACCACTATGAGCTTTCTCTAAGTTAATTTGTGAATTTTATGCAGCTGAAGTAAAACTTCCATAAAGTTTTTTATAGAGCCATATGAGTTGATTATTAATTTTCCCTGCTCCACGAGTACAAGTCATTTTGTGGAGTGGGGAGCAGCAGGGAGGAGCTAGGTTTGCTTACGCATGACATGTCGTGTGGCCTTTGTGTCTCTCACTGCACTCAGCCCTGCCCATGCTCCCTCTCTGGACCCTGAGTTGTGACTGCCCCCTCAGGATCTGGGGTTCTGGAGGCATGTTTGTTCACTGCACTGGGCGGATGGGCCACTGGACTAGAACGCGTATCCACCATTGGCCCCCACTGGGGCTTTTGACTCACTGCAGGGGTGTAGGCAGAGAGCGTATGCTGGGGAGGACAAACTTTGCAGTGCCTCCTCAGCCTCCTCTCTCATATTGCTCCCCATGCTGACCCCAAGACAAGGCCAGACAAGAAGGCTGAGGTATGAAAGATAATGCCATTTGTCTAGAAAGTGTGGGCACCACCAAATGGTCTTTTGGTTGTGATGGTGAAGGGGTAGCCCACATCTGGTGTTTCTCTTCTTTTCTCCCATTGCTAGCATGGATTTTCAGCTTACTCTTAATATTAGGCTTTTTGTCCTAAACTGGTCATTTATGATGAATTGTAGATACTTTTCATTCACTAGGAAACTGCAGTCTATGTTTTCAGCCCTTTCCCCTCTAGTCTCACTTCTCCTGCTTCCCAGGTGTACCCTGTACTCTTACCCTCCCCCTCGTTTTCTGAGGCTGTTCTCTCTTCCTGGGGCACCCTTCCTTCCTTGTTCCTGTCTGAAGAATGGGCAGTTCTTCCTGTTGTTTTCAGAGGTCCTTTAAAAAACCCGTTTCCCAGATGAATGTGAATATACTGGTATTTATAAGGAAAAATCACCCCTCTATTTTTCAGTAATCCGTGTTTGTCCTGTAGCCTCCTTTTCAACTGTGAATATCTTCGAGGCAGGAACTCTGTGTGTTTTACCTGTGTAACTCCTAAAACACTTTGCTTATTGCCCTGCCCATGGCAAGAAGGTGAGATTGGATTAAGAAAAACTAAAGTCTTAATTTAGTCAGTGGCATGGACTGGCTATCTATATTGTGCATTAGATCCTACCCTTTGGAAACTACTGTGCTGAGCAAAATCAATTACCAGATTATGCCAGTGGCCTACACAGGACCAATAGTGGTCAATGTTCATTGCAACACCACTAACTGGAACCTGCTGTGGGTTGGGTAACGCTAGCCCTTGTATATTTGTGATTTCCCCAGGCCCTTCAAGCACCTGCAGTCTAGGTGGAGGGCTGGGCACAAGGCCAAACAAGGTCTTCCACGTGGTAGCAGCCAAGATTCTATATAAGGAAGACCATGAGAGTTGGCTCCGCTCATTTAAGACTGCACGATTAGCAATGCTTTTCCCTAAGTCCCCAAAGCAATAAGTTGTTTAAATTTACAGATGTGTGTTGATAGACATTCGTTTTCTGTGAATAAATGGCTAATAAAAGGTGAGATGTTTGCAAGTAACTGTACACATGGATTATACTTCAAAAACACAAAGCCTTTCTTTTCTTGCAGGAATCCAGAAGCGCTGAAGTCACAAGAAGAGAAGGTAGGAAAACTGCATTCATACCTACTTCATTCTCAGTGCTAACCTCTGGGAAGCCATTTGTTGGAGCTAAGATGAGCTCCAGACTGTGGGAAACCTGTTCTTTGAAATTTCATGTGGCTTTCTCTGGGTGCTGACTATTTGGTACTTAGCTTGTCAGGATTGCAAGCACTGAAGGGCAGGTTTGCTTATGAAGACTGTGTCTTCTCCCTTCAAGTGTCAGAGGTGGGGTCCGGAGAACTGGCTTGTTCACAATTGTGTTTACCATCCTTTGCAAGAAGGCTTTTTTTTGTGTGTGAGTGAAGGTTGATATAATTATTTAGTTTCACCTGCAAAACAGCATCAACAATAAAAATGGTTTATGGTTTGAGGTATTTCAATATCTTGGAAAAGGTGCCACTGTGAAAAATATTCCTCATTAGACTTTTACAGCTTTAGCTAAGCTGAAATGGAAATAACCAATTAATTTTCCCTTTGAAAACAATTCCATGATATTCTATTTTCCCTACCAGAGTTCCTCTCACACACTTGTTTTCTGGTCTCTGAGGTAAGTATATGGGTGATAATTTCTGAAATCTCTTAGAGGAAATTGAAGTTTTCCTTACTGACCTTTGGCAGTACCCAATCTGTAATAAGAAGATGTCTTTTGTATGATTTATGGGATCATCGCCAGTCATCCCTTAATTATGGGGATGGGAAGATGAAGTCAGAAAACAAAGTGAGGTCTTGGTCTGGAAACTGGCCTTTAGCTGCAGTTTCAACCACGTCTTTCTCTGTGGCAAAGTCTTCTGAAAGAGTTGCAGTATTTTAAAAGTGAGAAAATTCCATATTGATGCCTAAACTGAGCATATTCTTGCCTCCTTTTAGTTCTTAGTTTGTGCACCACAATGCAAGACATAGAATGGCCATGTATTCCACGCATGTCACCAGAGCTTGGAGCCCTAAACCTCCCATACTGTCTGTCAGTGGACTAATGGAACCAGGTGCTTGCCGCTGTCCATGGTGCTGGCCTCTTGGCTTCAGAGGCTGTTGGTACTGTGGCTCCAGGATGAACTTCTGGTTTCTGTTCTCATTTGCTGTTGTCTCTGCTGTTGGACTTCATGTCCTCCTAATTGCATCCACAGGGTAAACTGTGTTGTTTGGGAATCAACGCTAAATTAAACTGGATGAAGGTGGGTGGGGCAGGGAAGGCACATTTCTTACTGAAAATCATGTTCACAATGGGTACAATGATCATATGCACTGGAGAGAAATAGCTACAAGGAGAGAAGGTGGCATGAACTTTGGTTTTGAATACTATTATATTTGTGTTAGTATTCTCAAGTGTGAATGTTTGGGATTAATTTGCGTTATGGAATCACACTGTTTTCAAATCTTATTGTCCCTGTGTTAGAAATGTTTCTAAATAGTAAGACTGGAGTATGAGAGAACCATGTGTGTTTTTCTCAAAGACACAGGAGGGTCTGGGATACCAAGGCTGTCTGCGATGAGCAAAGGCATGGTCAGGCTGTGCTCTGCTCATCCAGAACCTCCTCCCCTTTTGAAGTAGCTGCTCTCACAACCTGCTGACCAGCATCTGCTGTGGGTTTGCACTGGCAAATTTGTCTCGACATCACATGAACTTTTTTCTTCCCTTTGTGAGCTGATGTCTTTCTTGCCTATTTCTGTCAAAGTTGGGTGTCTGAGAGTTCCTGAAATAGCCCAGTGCCTTAATGTCAATGCTTGCAACCTGGCAGGCAGGCAGGCAGGAAGAGTGAGACTTTGTAGGTTGTTTGCAAGTATTTCTGTGTCTGAGAATTCACCAGCTGGGGCAGTGGGGTTATTAATCTTTTTCAGACTGTATATAGATATACAAATGATAGAGGCACTGTGAATGTTTTAATAAATCATTATTCCTCCAATCACAAGACAGTATTGTCTACCCACCAATATTTAAGGTTGGTGTCTTAGCTGTGACTTGACCTGGAACTGAAAGTTCAGAGGAGCAAATGACTAACACTCTGAATGTTTCTGCTCAGTTTACCAGGCCCAGGGGATTCTGGAGAGGTCTGGAGAGGGAATCTCTGAATCGCAAAACCTATGATATGCCATGTTCTTGTTTTGTGTTGTTTTAATTCTACCCCTGTCTCAGGAGTATCAGCTCATCATGGGTTCAGTGCTCCAAATGGATGAATAATCACAACTTCACACTGCTTGGTTTAGAAACTCCTTACCAAGTCTGTGAAGCCAGAGGGGTAACATGAGTAGAGGAAGTGAGTCCAGGCTAAATCAGAGTGGGGCTGGGGATTGTTAGTGACATGAATGCCCTGTGTGCCTCAGAGCTGCTCTCTGCCTTGTTTCCCCTATGGCTCTCCCCAGCCTTGGGTCTAGTGTTGGGGACCCCAGACCGAAGCCCAGCTTTTTCACCTTTGGCCTAATTCACCTTGTCCCTGCAGCCTACATCCTCTTTGTCCCTTATCTTTATCAAGTGCCATCTCTCCCTCATCCCTTCCAACTCTGTTTCTTAAAGTGTTTAGCTTTCCCTACCTGATCTGAGGGGTAAGGGCTCCTATCGGGTCATTCATTTCCCGAGAGTGGAGACCCTCGCCTCACTCACCCCCAGATTCCTCACAGCCCTGACCGAGGGCCTGTAGCTGCTCAATAATTGCTTCTTGAATGAAATGCAAGCTACATATTGCTTTGTGTCTATTGTATTATAATGCTAATCTTGCCCTAGTGATATATAAGTTAGTGCTTTGGTTCTAGATAAGCACTTTTTAAAGACTGTTCTGGGGATAGCCACTGGATATTCCTAACTGATGCACCGATGGAAGAGTTCCATGTTAAGATAAGCTTGGTGATATGAGTTGAATTGTGTCCCCCCCAAAAGATATGTTGAAGTCCTAGCCTGGAACCTGTGGGTGTGACCTTATTTGGGAACAGGATATTGGCAGATTTGTGACAAGTTAGGATGAGATTGTACTGGACGAGTGTGGACCCTAATCCAACAAGTCGTGCCCTTCTCAGAAGGGGCAACTTGCACACAGACACAGAGAGAGAATGCCATGTGATGATGGAGGCAGAGGCTGGAGCGATGAGTCTCCCACCCAAGGACTGCCAGGTGTTGCTTGAAAACACTGGGAGCCAGGAAGAGGCAGGAAGGGAGCCTTCTGAGGGAGAATGGCTCTGCCTACACCTTGATTTCTGGAGTCCAGGACTGTGAGAAATTACCTTCTCATGTTTTAAGTCACCAACCCTTGGAACTCTGTTACAGCAGCCCTAGGGAACAAGTACACCAGGCAAATGCCAGACTCAGTGTTGAGCTGATTTTGTCCTTGCTATTGACATTTTTACTGCAGAATCTCTCAGGCCTTTTTTAAAAAAACTTTTTCGACCATCACCCAAGAATATGTTTATTGGTATGTGTGTGTGTGTGTGTGTGTGTGAGAGAGAGAGAGAGAGAGACAGAGACAGAGACAGAGACAGAGACAGAAAGAGAGACATTGATGTGTGAGAGAAACATCAATTGGTTGCCTCCTGTATGTGCCCTGACTAGGGGTTGAACCTGCAACTTTTTGGTGTATGTGATGATGCTCCAACCAACTGAGCCACCTGGCCAGGGCATACTTCTCAGGTCTCTAAGATGCTAAGTATGACTTTCAATGTGGGGAGTAATATGCAGCATTTTCCAAACTCAGCTTCCTATGGCATCTCAGTTTTGTTGTTTCTGATCATGTTGGGACTGGCATGCCATGCCCTTTGCAAACCCTGCTCTCGAGAGCTCAGGAAGAAGGAGCACTTCCTCAGGGCCCCGGATGAGGACATGCCCCAGCACCAATGACTTCCAAGGACACGGCCAGGACAGGGTGGTAGGACAGTAATAATGATGATCACCTCTCAGTTGGTCTGAAGTTTTCAGGGACCTTTCACATTCTTCTCCTCCCATGACCCTCAGCAACCCATGATGGGAGCAGAACAGCTGACACCTTACACATGAGACAGCTTCCTTCCTATCCCTCTAACTTCGGTAGGAACAAGGGTTCTCAGTGGTACATCAGTCCTCTCTAATGGGGGCAGTGGCTTAAATGACTCGACTTTGGATCATCACACCAAGGTCTTCTCCACATGCATATCCATTTCCAAGCCCAGATCGCTAAGAAGGACTCTTGTGAGAAAACTTCCTACGGGAGCTGTGTTTCCAGGTCAGCCCTGTGATGAGGACTCTCAGGGGAACCAGAGGGAGGCGTACTATCAGAGATTGTGGTGGGACTGGAAGACCAACAAGGAGTTTTTTTGGGGAGGACGTGTGCCGGCTGCTGCTTCATCTGCTCTTCCCTGCAGGTGTTTTACACCTCCCTCCAGGCACCTGCAATTCAATTCAACTTTTTCTGAAGCTTCGGCAAAGGTGCCAACCTCACCTCTCCAAGACACTCTGAGTCCCCTCGGAGGGCTGGTGTTGATTACGACTGCCAGAACTCATCTGCTCGGACTAGTGCTTTTCTCTAACTGATTCCATCAGGTTGAATTACAGCCAGGAGAGAACACTTGAGTGAGCTGAGCGAGTGGCTGGGATGATTCAGCCCTTGTCAGTCATGCCTTAGCAGCATGGGGTGATCCGACCTGTGAGTGCTTCCAGATGCCTATGCTTGTGCCTTGACTGGAGGCTGTGAGTTTTGGGGTGGGCACCAATGTCATGTTGCACTACCCATGATGGCTCACTCGAGTGTTCCAGTCCAGACCAGCCTGGCCTGGCTTCCAGCAGGGCAATGAAGGAGACCTGAGAAGAGGGACGCTGCTGTCTTCACGATAGAGGAAAGAGGGGAGTGACAGTCACACACAGATCCAGGGTGGCTCTGGCTCCTTAGCCATGCCCGTCTCCTAAATAAACATGACTTGCCAGTCCTGAGTGTGTGACTGGAGCCTTGCTTTCTGAAACTCTTGGAATTAGTCCCTAATTGGCAGCTGCTTCTAATAGCCCCCTTATGGTGCTCTGCATCTGGGAGAACTCCAGCTCCCAAACACTG